TCAAGTTATCTGTTGAGAATTCTTAACTACTGAGTCCAAAATAAGTTGCATAGTCTTTGTTGAGGTCTTCTATTATTTAATACAGGTTAGCAACTAATCAAACTCAGGCCAGATCCTTTTGACAACATGGTAGGCAAGTGTTGTGCCCATTCAAAAGGTACAGGGTCTCATGTGAGGAGAACTGAGTGCTTGAGAGAAAACTCTAAGAAAATAAGACAAGAGTCAGGTGGCTTCAGTTTCTTCAAAACACAGAATTGTTCTTGGAATGTGTTTTCTGCCCCTCTCAGGTGTAGTGGAAGGATTCATTACCGCTAGTTATTGTTATTTGTTTATAGGCCTCTGTGGGAAAACATGCTTTGCCACATGTGGCCTGTCCTTGTGATTGTACACTCTACTCAGGTGACACTTTTGAACCCTCAGACTACAAACTGTCCGAGACTAAAGTTGGCTATTACATAAGACTTTAGTCTGCCTCATTCTCCCCGATCCCTCCTCTTCTAGAGCAGAGGCAGTATGTAATGACTGCCTTTTCTTTATGCTTGTCTCCTCTCAACCTTGGAGGTTGCCGGAAGGTAGTATTCTGATGTTTTTTTTTTTATTTTTATTTTGCAGCTTGTATAGTTTTGTGCTTGACTCTCATTGACTCTTTGCTTGCAGTTCTTACAGGAAAGGTGAGAAAATAAGATTGAATGTGATGACTTCCTTGGCAGCAGAAATGGCCTTATGTCAGCCTCACGCAAGCACATGCCACCCAGACCGCTGGCTTCTAGTATTTGTCAACTCCTGAGCGGTTTGCTTTTTTGAGTCTTGTCTGCGGTTGATTCTGTGGAAGGGCTCCTAGAGCAGTGTTCCCTAACTTTTTTCATTTTCCTCAACTTCTCTGTATTTTTTTTTGTAATTCATAAAATTCAGTTTCTCTGGATATAAAGTCCCTAGGTCACAGTTTCTTTTCCTGATATATTTGAGTATATTTCTCTCATTTTCTTCTAACTTAAAGCATTGCTGTCGGTGTCTAGTCATCATTTCCTTTTTGTTCTATGTCAGATTCTATTTTTATATAGGAGTCCAAAGAATTTCTTTGCTGTCTGGTAATTTTTATTAGAATGTATCTTTTTATTGGTTATCCTAAGCTAATTTCCTTAGGTATTTAGCCTGTGCTTTCAGCATACTTTAGCAGAAAAAAGTAATTGCAAAGAAGTTTTATTGACATCTAGTTTTTCTTTATACTACTTTTTTTGCCAACTGCCAATATTTGTCAAGTTCTCTGAAACCTTTTGTATCTTAATTTTTAAACCATCCAGTTTTCAACTCCATTTTTATTTTTAATTCTCGTCGGCACACTTATCACGCTCAGTTGCTCTTGGGTTCCACATCATTTAGATTTCTTTCTAAAATAACTTTTATCTCTAATGTTTTTCTAGGTTGTTCCTTAATGTCACATTGTGTGTGTGTCTATCAGTTCTTTGGGGGTAGTTTGTGGTAGGTTTGATCTGGTTTTAAATCTGAGAATGTGTCTCTGATGTGAGCATGGGGTGTGTTACTTCACCTTCTGTTCTACCATCTAAGGTAGTGGGACATCTGACACTGTGCTTTTCTGTTGCTCATTTTAGTTTGAAATCATATTTCCTGAACTTTCGGAAGGACATGAAGTTCAGATCTCCCTCCACAGTGTAATTGGTGGTGGTGGTGGGTTGTGCATGTTTTTATGTAATATGAGAGAAATATGGAGGTTTGTTTTTAGGAACTTTCCAACTATGTTTCCCTTTCCTATTTTTTTAGGTATTTTTTTTTCCATCTTGATAACCTTTACCGTACTCAGTTTTGTTTCTCTTGCTGTCATGGCTCTGTGTCCTGGTATGGTGACCCAAAGGTCAGACAGGGGTGACTGTCCCTGTGTAGGCCCTCATGCTCATCTCCTGCTAGGGTGCACAGGATCTTGCTTGCCCAGTGTCTGTCTGCAAACTTAAGAACTCTCGCTGCTTATTTTGAGCCCCTCTTGTATTGCAGTGCTTTCTTCAGACAGATGCTGGTCTTAAGCATGGCTCGTGGATGCAGGTGGGCTGTCTCATTTGCATATAGTTTTATTGTATTTATTTTACTTCATCATTAGCATTTCTCAAATCCTCTCATATTTTCCTATCTGTGCTGCTGTGATTATCATGCTTTTGCTGGTGCTACAAAGTCTTGGACTCTGACTTCCCAGCTTCTAGCTTAATTGCTGTCCATACTGCAAGCTAGAGTGATCTTGCTGGGCATCAAATCTGAGTATGCCTCTTCCTGTTGGACCTCGCTTTGATGCCCGTGATGCGCAGTGGCCGAGATTCCAATGCAGGAAGCCCAGGCGCCGAAGTCACAGATCCTCGCTTCCATCTTTAGCCTTTTCTCTTTCCTCTTCTGTCCTGTGACTCTCAGGCCGATGTTAGAAACCACTCTTGTGGTTCTTTAAATGTCAGAAGACTTCTCACCCTGAGAGCTTGGTCTATAGTGCTCTTTGCTGAACCCTGACTTTAAAAAAATATATTAAACTTATTTATTATCCATGTGCATGTGTGCACACGCATGCATGACACAGCATGTATGTGAAGGTCAGAGAACACCTTACGGTTGTTGGTTCATTCTTTCCACCATTTGTGTTCCAGTGCTCAAATTCAGGTCGTCACGCTTGGTGGCAAGCACCTTCACTTGCTGACTGCTGAGGCATCCCCCCAACCCCATGCCTTTTTACTGAAAGATAAAATTAAAGAATGCCTTTACAATGAATTAAGGGAAATTTAAGGGAAAAATCCAACAAATTGCATGTCTTTTAAAATATTCTGTAAATTCATTAGAATTCTCTGCACCATCAGTTGTTAGTTTGCTTTCTGTCGCTGTGATAAATACCATGAGTAAAACCAACTTGGGGAAGACAGGGTTTATTTGGCTTACATGTTCTCGTAATAGTTCATCATTGGAAGAAGTCAGGATAATAACTGAAGCGAGAGCAGAGGCATGAACCACAGAGGAGCGCTGCTTACAGGCTTGCTTGCTCTGCTTTCTCATGCAACCTAAAGCCATCTGCCCAGCAGTAGCACCACCCTCAGTGGGATTGCGCCCTCTCAATCATTAATAAAGAAAATGCCCCCACAGACTTGCCCCTGGGCCATTCTGATGGAGTCAGTTCAGTCTGGAGTCCCTCTTCCCAGGTGCCCTGGTTTTGTATCAAGCTGACAAAAAAATGGCCAGCACAACAATATACTTTATTTTCTAATACTCTGAAAGGTTTTTCTTCCCCTCACTTTGAGCAGAAAAGAAATTCTACATTGATTTGCTTATTCAGTTTCCTTTGGCTAAACTGTGAACTTGAATTTATTTAATATAACAATCTAACTATGAATGTGAATGGACACTTAAATAAAATGTAATTTTTTAAAAGGGCCTTTGAGATAAAGCAAAATATATTGAGCTTCATATTTAAATGATTCTCCTTTGTAAAATTCAGCTCTTCCCAAATTCAGAGGGCTGCTTTTATAAGGAGAGGGCTTTGAACGCAACCTAAGAAACCTCGGTGATTTGTACCATGTGTCCGTGCTGAGAAAGCATGGCAGGCTTGTTATCGGAACACATCTGGGTGGAATTACAAATGAGGATTCTTCGGGAAACAGGTTGGGAATACTTTGGTCTTAACAGAAGAACGGTCCTGTGCAGCCTTAATTGGAACTTGTGGCAGGTGGGACATTCTGCTTTGAGAAGAAAGCCCCTGGAACTCCCGGTGTGACTCGGGAGTGGGGGGAGAGTGCGAAGAGAAAAGGTGAAAATGCTCCTCCCCTCCCTCCGTGTTCACCATCTGCACCAACACACACATGTGTAAAATTCGTAGATTCTAATGTCCCGGTAGTTATAACCCAGGGGGACTTAATTAACTACTCTAGGTAGATCACAAACCCAGAGATTTCCAGGTAAACTTGTAATGAAAAGTAATTAGTAAAGGTATTAATTAGCTTAGAGGAAGAAGCAGTCTGAGTGAAATGAGGAGAGAATGCAAACTTTGAGAAGTGTAAAATGAAAAAAAAAATCTTGAAGTTACTAGATTTCTTCTACTCAACTCAAGTTGACCAAGGTGTCTGATTTTAGAGCTGGGGAAATAAAGTAGTTTGTAACATGCTTGTTTTACAAGCATGAAGACTTGAGTCTGATCCCAAGAGCATATGTTAGAGAAAAGGGAAGGGGGGGAGGGAAGGAGGGAGGGAGGGAGAGAGGGATGGAGGGGTAGGGGAGTGGAGGACAGGCAGGCAGGCAGGCAGACTAAGAGCAAGTATAGAGAAATATACATGCAGTCAGTCTGCAGTCCAGGGAGGCAGAGACAAGCAGATCTCTGGAACTCACTGGCCTTCTAGCCTACGCAGAAAACCACAGGCTGATAGGAGATCCTGTCTCCTTCAAACAAGATGGACATCAATTACAAACATGTTCATCTGCACACACATGGACACACATGCACATACTTTTTTTTTAAAAAAAAAAAGGATGTTGATCTTGCTGGACAGTGGTGGTGCACGCCTTTAATCCCAGCACTTGGGAGGCAGATGCAGATGGATCACAGTGAGTTCAAGACCAGCCTGGTCTACAAAGGGAGTTCTAGGACAGTTAGGACTGTTGCACAGAGAAACCCTGTCTCAAAATAAAATAAAATAAAATAAAATAAAATAAAATAAAATGAAAAGAATGTTGGTCATGAAACCAAGACAGTAAGAGAAGAATTTGCAAGTGTTTAAGATGTGTTCATCTGAGAGTCTTCCAGAGCACTGGGTGGCTTCTGTGGACTGTTACCTTGCATGATATCCTAGTGCTAAACTGTGCTCTGAAGTCAAGAGTCTCTAATTATCTGTACACAGTGGAGAAATGGAGTTGGTACTGAACACTCATTCTGTAAGCTGTGACTCTTTAAGGTACCCAAATAGGAAATTCCCTAGACTCCCCAGTGAGGCAACCTAATCATGCCCTTTCTATATCTCTTTCCTTAGGAATATGAGACCCAATCTAGTGCAGAGGCCAGATTCGTGAAGCAGCTGGACCAGTGTGAAATGATTCTTCAGGCATCCGAATATGAAGACATGGAGAAGAAACCTGGGAGGCTTCAAGACTTCTATGATTCCACAGCGGGTACTCATGCTCATAAACTCATAAACGTTGATTTAGTTGGGCTCAATCTTAGTGTGGGGACTGGTGGTCCATAAGTGGCAAACCCCTTGTTGGTTCCCTCTTCTGACCTTTCAAGAAGAACATCTTGAAAGAAAATGGTAATGTTGAGATGGCTAGTTGAGACACCAGTGGCACTCAAGGACACCACCGCTTTGATGTCTGAACAACATGTTCACATTCTGCTTCTGCCAGCTGTTGGTCCCTTGCTGTCTTAGAGCTTGTGCCTCGTCTGATAAATGGGAACCAAAACTCCTTTCTTACATTCAAAATTGCTTTTCAGAGAGAGATAATGCACAGTAAGGGGCTCTAATTTATTAGTGCTTTAGAATTGTAAGATTGGGATAGAAATAGTGAGTGACTTAAAATAAGTCTTGCACATAGACATAAGTTTCTATCCCACCCAGTCCCACAACCAAATAAACAAACAGAGGCTTATATTACTTATAAACTGTTTAGCCTATTGCTCAGGCTTATTACTAACTACCTCTTACAACTAGCCCATGATTCTTATCTATGTTCAGCCACATGGCTGGGTACCTTTTCTCACTATGGCATTATCATTTTGCTTCTTCTGCTTCTGACTGACAATTGCATCTCTGCCTTTCCTCTTCCCAGAATTCTCCCAGTCTGGTTACCCTACCTATACTTCCTGCCTGACTGCTGGCCAATCAGTGTTTTATTAAACCAATACGAGTGACAAATCTTTATAGTATACAAAAGCATTATCCCATAGCATTTCCCCTTTTTTCTTTTCGCAACAAGAACCCTGAATCTAATCAGCTTTGTTTAGTTTTTTTTTTCCTGACCATTATTCATAACAACTTGTAATCAACACTCAAAAACAAAGACAAACATCCATAATCCATTTTTTGGGAATGTGGACATAGTTTTCTAGGCTACTTCCTGCTGATTGGGGTTGCTGATAATCTTATGGGGACCCAAAGAAAATTTAGGATTATGGTCAAGTTCTTACTAGAGTATTCTGTGAGGCTGATTATCTTGGCCATCAGTCTTAAGACTGAGGCAAGAACTTACTGGAGTATTCTGTTAGGCTGGATCATCTCAGCAAACAATCTTGAGGCTGCTCTGCATATAGATTTAAAAGAAACTGCACCAGAGGTGCTCTGAAACATTGGATCATCTGGGCCACCCATTCCCATTGGAGATATTTCAGGGGGTCTTCTTTGATCAAACCTTATTTTTCTTAATCCAGAATAAATCCACAGCCTCTCATTTCCTGTGGAAACAAAAGCAAAATCTCTTCTCCAAAGTAACATATCTTTTGACTTAAATTTTGAAGTCAAGGCATTTTCAAAATATATCAGTTGGATTAATCCAGCAGCATTTAAAATCAAATGTTTTTAGCAGCTGTTGCTTCTTCCTCAGCAGTCGAACAATTCCAAGACAGCAGAGTAACATACACTTCCACATCCTCTTACCAGGTGGATGTCACCATCAGTATAGTACCTCACAGCACAGCCATGGACTCATGAGACATGGGTTTGAATCTTGTTTATGCCACATATAACCATGTAAATCTAATAAATCACTAAGGCCCTTGAGTCTTGTTTTCTCTTCTTTGTAATGGAGATACTTAAGCCTGGTGTCATGCATGCTTGTAATCCTAGCACTCATGAGGTAGCTGCAGAAGGGTTGAGTTTGCGGCTAGGCTCAGCTAAATAGTAAGACTCTGTTTTCAAAATCAAGAGCCAGGGATAGAGTTCAGTAGTGGAGTACTTGCCTGGCGTGTGTGAGGCTCCAGATCCCATCATCCACTATAGAATGGTGACATTAGCAGCACCTACATGATAGATAAGATTGTGTGAGGGAGGATGCTGGGGGAAATCCTGGGATCTGATTAGAGAGGCACCTGCACTGTCAGCTGCCTTCATTTTGATCGTTTACAAAGCAAGCAGCCACACCCACTGTTGAAGATGGATGTTCTATGGTGTCTTCAAATATAACTTCCTGTCCATTTCCTGGGAGCCCTATTGGATCAGTCAGTCCAGTCTCTATTTTCCCTGAGGGCTACAAGGACTGGCCTCTCTCTGACCTGCCATGACCCTTGTGTGATCTCACCAAACTAATGAAAACCCTGGCTCACAGACTAATCTCCAAATTACCATTTTCATGGGCAGGAAGCTGATGCAGGTTTCTAAGCACAGGGCCTTAGACCGCTTGGCCATCCTGACCGCAAGTTTCTTTTTCTCTTCTTCCAACCACATTTTCTCTGCTCTAGGCAGGGAAGTCAGTTCATACTGGACTGTCAGTGTGACCTTCCCTGTAGATATGGGCATCAGCTCATCTTTTGGAGGGGGGGCAGAGAGGGGTGGAGTGGGGATCAAACTTGGGGCCTTGTACATGCCAGGTAAATACTGTAAAGCTATGCCCTAGGATGATATCTTTGTTTTCAAAACACCCGGTTTTCCTCTTTCTAAAGCATAACTTCGCAACACCTTTGGGTGACCAAGGAAGTCTGAGGACCTGCTGCTTCCCGTGTTTCCAGCGTTCTTTCCTAATCCGTTCTCTGAGACTTCATTGTTCCCTTTTTGCTCAGTCTGCACTTGGTCTCAGTGTGTCACACCTTGCAGTCCCCCTCTGGCTCCGTCTTTTGGTTAGCTTCAGTTACTGCAACACAACATCTCACATGACCAACTTCCAATGAGGAAGGTTCTTTTGGCTCAGAGTTTTAGAAGTCTTAGTTTGTGATTGCATGGCCCCATGGCTTCCGATGATGGAGCATTATGGTTGGGTCTAGTTGGAGCACAGCTGTTTGCCTTCTCCCCCAAGGACACGAACTTGTAACTCTACCTGCTAGAGGCGTTCCCCCTTCTTTATGTGTTGTTTGAGTTTAACAATATATGATAGCAGTAGGATCAAGTGGGATCAGGTGGTTATAACAGGAGCCACGGAGCCTGGAATGTTTCCCATCTGGCATTTGACTTCCATGGCTTGCTGGCCCATGTTACTCGTGACAGTTGGGTTCCCGGGAGCATAGTTCACAGTGATTTAACACACAGGCCGTGTTGGTGCCATCTTTGCACTTTACAGTTAGTTGTCCTCAGTTGTTATAGTCACAGTGGAAAAACAGAGAGTGACATACAAGCAGAATTTTAAAAAATCAAACTATGTGAGTGGAGTTGTCTAGCTCGAAGCATGTCTTTTGCTGAGAAAGATGCTTCAGCCCAGAGAGACGGTGGCTTGTCTACAGCCAGCTGAAGGGGAATCTCCTGTTTGCATTGTAGCACACTGCTTCCATTAAAGAGTTAGTAAATCAGTATAATGCAGCCGATTGGAGAAATGATTTCTCAGTATCCCAGCGACAGATGTGTAAGGAAAGGACTCACTCCTAAGCACATATATGTAAGAGCAAAGATAAAGACAGAGCTGGCAAGTCAGGTTCATGGGAAGGGTTGGAGGAAAGGAAGGGAAGGGCAAATGATATATTTTATTTTCATTTTAGAAATTAAAAATCGTTAATTAACAAAGAAAAGGTTTTATCAAAAAAGCATGGGGAAACATATAAACTGCATCTATTACAACTGAAATTGTTTATTACATTTATTTACTTGATAGTAGATGGGGGCATGCCATAGCTCACATGTGGAAGTTAAAGGACAACTTTCGGGAGTTGGTCCTCTCTTTCTACCCCGCGGGCTTCGAAGTGAATCTCAGTTTAACAGACTTGGCAGCAAGTTCCTTGATCTGCTGCGTCATCACACCAGCCCAATTACAGCAGCTTTGAAGAGGACCTCAGGCTTTAGTTTTGGGGTTTTCTCTGATTCACACCATAGCGTTGCCCTTGCTTTCTGAACCTATTGTTTTGGGGAGCAGCAGAGTCTGTGACTTTTGGGGTGGGTGACAAATGGAAGGTAGGAGATGACACTAGAGAAATGGCTTTGGGGCCAAGGCACTGAGGGCCTCATGCGTCAGTGTAGTCAGGGCTTGTTAGCTGGCCACCTATACTAGGTATCTGTAATGATTTTACTAGATGAGGATGAGGTCACTGTCCAGAACCGAAGCCTGGGGAGGACTGAGGAACAGGGACAATGGCAGACATCAGCTACTTGAGATCTTAACCAAAGGCAGCTTATTTATATTCTTTGTACCGTGGTCTTCCTGTAGGCCATTTTCTTTTCTGTTCTGTTTTGTTTTGAGACGGTTTCTCTGTATAGTCCTGCCTGTCCTGGAACTCTGCTGTAGATCATGCTGACCTCAAACTCAGGAATCCTCTACCACCTGAGTGCTGGGATTAAAGGCATGCACCAGCACCACCCAGCCAGCCATTTTCTATGTGGGAACTGTATCCCCTTAATTCATTGCAGTTTTGGAAGAGATGGGTCTGACGTCTGGGCTCTCACTCCCAAGCTTCCGCTGTAGTCCCTGGGAGGGACACTCAGGGGCTGCCTGGTGCTGTTTCCTCTACATCTTGACAGACTAAATGATGATTCTTTGCCTGAATCTCATCCTTGCACTCTGGCTAAAGTGGTCTCCTTTACCTGTTCCTGGGACCCAGAATCTCCTGCTTTGAGGTGTGACCAAGTTCACAGAAGAGAGCCCCTGATAGCCATGGGGTCAAACTGAAGAAATGTGTGTCTTCTCATGTTAATATAGAAATGTCTCCCTTTTCCCAGGAAAATTCAGTCACCCTGAGATAGTCCAGCTTGTTTCTGAACTGGAGGCAGAGAGAAATGCCAACATAGCCTCGGCCTCTGAGGAGCTGGACTCCTGAGTGCTCCTCGCACCTCTGCTGCCCTACTTTCTTCTTTGCTTCGTGGAAACGTGTTTTTCTACTGTGGCTCTGAAGATTTCCCAAGATGAGCATCTATCTTCCGTTGTCTGGACTTGAGCAACAAGTGTGATATAACCCCGGTCCTAAAAGAAGCCACCGAACTGGAAGTGGTCAGGAAGATGCCATGGGCAAAGGCTCGAGAGGAGAATGCTTGTTTTGTGAATTAAATAAATATTAAACACTCCAGACTTTGACTTCTGTTTTGGATGTCTTCAACTATCTTCTTCAGGCTTATTTATTAGCTTATATTATTGAAGAGCAGATTCATTGGAAGATAGAACATTTAATTATAATTACTTTTTAAATGTTTATTTATTCATTCATTCGTTTGGTTTTTCAAGACAGGGTTTCTCTGTGTAACAGCCCTAGCTGTCCTGGAAATCACTCTGTAGACCAGGCTGGCCTCAAACTCACAGAGATCTTCCTGCCCCTGCTTCCTGAGTACTGGGATTAAAAGCATACACAACCACTGCCCAGCTAATTATAATGACTTTTAAGAACAGAGTCTTCTTGGGGTGCAGTAGTGAGTTACTACTGTGTGCCATAGTTCTGTATGAGGCTAGCGTCTGTTGCTGTTTGAGAGGTGGTTTCATTCTGGCTGGTCCAGGCCCTCCTAGACTCTTTTTCCAAAGTACTAGCATGTGGCACCATGCCCAGCTTGTGCCAGATATTTGATTTTACTGTGTGGTGCTTCAGGCCCCTGATTGTAGATTTTTCAAGCCTGCTCACAGTCTGTCCTCTCTCCCAGTACATTAACATCTAAGGATGTATTTTAGGGTATACTATTTCCAATGCCAGCCAGGTGGTGGGGGCACATGCCTTTAATCCCAGCACTCGGAAGGCAGATGGATCTCTGTGAGTTTGAGGTCAGCCTGGTCTACAAGAGCTAGTTCCAGGACAGCTAGGACTGTTATACAGAGAAACCTTGCCAAGAAAAACAAAAAACAAAAACATTGTACTGTTTCCAATTGTCCACCCCTTTCTTTATTTCTTTATGATTTAATTTCTTGGTTATAATAACAATTATGTGTGGGTGTTGCCGGGGTCATTGCACTAAAAGTAGGTATCTGCCAACTTCATCTCTCCTCTTTCTCTTTGGTGGGAATAATAATCCCTTTCACATGGCTTTAGTTGTATACTCTATCGAAAAGTGTAGAAAAGATGGCCATCCATTGCAAGCCTACCTGGTAATTCAGCATGAGCAATGAGGCCTGTCCTTCTAATAGAAATGTCATCTTCCAATGGAAGGAGGCCTTTGAGGCTGGTGTGGAACATTCTAAGTAGCGTTTCTCTGGAAACTCTGCAGTATCCATGGATACGCTGTCTGCGGGAAGCAAGATACATGATCTCTGCAAAAGCAACCCATGTGTATAATATCTACTGGGTTGAAAAGTTAGTAATGTGAAAATGTTATTTTTTTAAGGTCTTATTAGTAAGAAAAAATTCTACCTATTAGTATTGTGGGGCCTTTTCTGTTGGTTTGGAAATTTTCACAAAATAACTCAAACACAGTTCAAGACTATGTGAGCAGAGCCTTTTCCATGGAACAGCTTTTTCTGGGCTTTGATTTGCTGTGTTGTGTCCACTGCAGTTTCTCATGAAGTCAGGACAGTGTGGAGGCTGTGGAAGCCTCTGCTGGCTCAGCCCTTACTCTGTTTACATCATCATTACCTCAGTTTATCGTTTTCCTGCCAAGGGGCAGTTCACAATGAGATCTTACCTAAACTTTATTTCTGAAATATATATATAATGGGACTGTGGCTAAAATCTTAATAAAAACCACACTGGAGCTCAATAAGGAAAGATAACTATTGCATCCATCAGCAATGTCTACCAATATTGAAACATTTTTGCTTGTCCTTGGAGGAGTCTTGCTGCTTGCCCAGACTGGTCTTCTGACTAACAAGTCCTACAATTATGATTCAGAGTAAATAATTATTCTTGGGTTGAATTCAAGAAAAAATGATTTGGGTCACTGTTTTCCCTGGGCCTTGCATTTCTCCAGCTGTGGCACAATTCTCTGTGCCCTTGTGTTTGGAGAATGTCACTTTGTCCCACAGCCTGTGCTCTGGGTGAGTGACGGCTCCCGTGGATTGTGAGAGATGACCTTGGGACTCAGGATTTTCATGTATGTAGTCTTATAGCTTCCAAGTGGGGAGCAGTGATCTTCAGGGGAGACCACCAGCTGCTGCTGGTGGTGGGTATAACGAGTGTGTCCTGCTGGGAACGTGGGTCGGATACAGTATGAGTGTCCAGGTTCAAATCACAGTGAATTGTTTTAGTTAATAGGTCTATTTGGTTTATTTTACAAATGTGCCATAGATTATATCCCTGCTACCAAACAGCCAACAGGTTTCCATCGTGACAAAAAGAAGTTTACGGTGTTAAAGGAAACGGTGATCGCAGGGAGCTGGGTGTCTTTTCTTCCAGGTGAACAACTTGTAAATTGGAAATTCATCCTAACCCACCTTCTCCTGGGGTTCTCTTCTCAGATATTCTTACCTGAGTAGCGACTGTCTTAGGTGGATTGGAGGGAATTTGGGAGTCAGCATTCTTAGATGACAATTGGTCTTATGATTTCTGTCTATCCCATTCCTCAGGGTAGAAGTGGATATAAAATTTCCCCTATGGAAGCATTGCCACCAACTTTAAGTCATCAGTAGCACTGACAAAATAATCAAAGTTCCAGTCATCATTGAAGTGGATTATTTTAATGACTTAAATAAATGTACATAGTTGGTGTAGGTGAGGGAGATCACAATCAGTTTGGTGACGTTTGTAGTGGCTTGGCTTACTGTGGGAGACAGTCTCAAAGAGTGCCACCTCTTGATCTTCAGACTTACAGCGCACAACTCAGTCCTCAAGGACATGCACATTATTATGGAGACCAAGCAAAAACCAAAGCTAAGAACTGTAGCTGCATGTATGGGAAATACACATTGAGTGCCACAGACAAGGATTATGACCAATTATGAACCTACTCCAGTTGGCCATTTTAAATGACGACACTTGTGAATACTGCGGTGTGATGTATCATCAACCAATGCCAATGGAAATCATTTTATTAAACTTTTAGGAGAGGCCGTTTAAATAACAATATCAAAACTTGGTTTCCCAGTGGGATTTTGGTCTTCGAATCAGGAAATGAGCAAGCAGATTTGCCGCCTGCAGCCCAGACTGGCTGGACCTAGCACTGGAGCTCCTCATCCGGGGTTTGCCGCGGGCCTCCTGAAGCATTCTGGGAGCTGGCATGTGCTGTGGAGTTCAGGACCTCCTCGAAGCTGCCTCCACTGTGGTTTGTCCCGCCTACTTTCGTCTGAAATGGGCAGGTAGATTAAAATCCAGTTAGTTTTTCATTGTCATTTTTATATCTTTTTTTTCTTAGAATACCAAAGTTTAATTGCTTTCCAGTTCAGAGATAACTATTTTTCCTCAGAGGCACGTGAAGCAAGAGAAGTTTCCTTTACGGTCCAGAATGTCATTCTTTTCAGTTCTAGGACAGGATTCCAAACTTGAATTTCATCTACATGTAAGATTCTAATCCCTGCAGGAATATACTGAGACCTATAGATGCGCATCATCTGTCTCTATTCATCTAGAGAATTGATTGAATCAAATTGAAATGGGATCTTCGATTGACTCTTCCAGTTTTAACAAATGTATAAATATCCTTGTATAATGTATACTTGGGTTTTCTATTTGAGACATAACTAGTGGCCAGCCCTAATTATTGAAAATGTCTCTCTTTTTGTGCATGTGTTTGTGGATACATGTTTGTATGCAGGTGTGCATGTACATATGTGTGTGCATGTATGTGGAGGTCACAGGGTAACCTCAGGTGTGTCCCCCCTTTTCTTCAGACAGCTTGTCCTGGAACTATCCTAGTAGGCCAGGCTGGCTGCCTAGCAAGCCCCAGGGATTCCCCCGATCGCCACCTTCCCAGAGTTATGAGTGTAAGTCTGTATCCCTACTCCTGAATTTTCAACGGGGGTTTTGAAGTTGAACTTTGGTCATAGCACCTGCAGGACATGAAGCACTTACCTCTCCAGACTACCCCTGCCCCCACCATTGTGGGGTTTGATTTCTTGTTGTTTCGTTTTATACTAAGCACTAGGGATTTCATACCTTTCTAGACTAATTCCTGAGAATATGTATGATGGGTCGCTTTGGTGTCCTTGTTTACTGACTCACTAAAAACAAAGAGGTCAGCCTACCTCTTAAATATGTGCTTAAGTACTTTGAATGATGAGTCATTAGAAGCTCTTCAGATCCGTGTTTTATATTCCAAAATATTTAACCTGAACACTCACAGTGGGCTTTCCTTAACCATCCACAATGTGTAAAAACATCAGGGAAAAGGAGAGTAGAGAACAGAATATGCTGTTGCTATTGCTGGACTAATGTCTGTACCCACTGTCACCAAAGTAATGCAGACATGCGCTCTGGGACAGTGTCCATGCTGCCTGGCCCGCCCTTTAAACCCTAACTGGATAGGGCTAGACAGATGGCTTAGTGATTAGGAGCACTGTTGCTCTTGCAAAGGACCCTACTTTGGATCCCAGCACCCATATGACAGCTTGCAACCGTCAGACTTCAGTTCCGAGGGATCTGAAACCCTCTTCCGACCAACATGAGCACCAGGCATACGTGTGGTACACAGAAATACACATGGGCAAAGCACACATATAAAAGAAAATAAATCTAAACGGAAATTTATAAGAAACGTAACCAGGGTTTAAAAGCAGTTAATTCATTAATAGTTCCATAATTCAACTGTCATAAAAAAAAGTTTTTGCATTTTAAATTCAGTTATTAAACTGACTTTTCTACATTGTTTAGATCAGAAATTAAATTATTTATTTCTACATTGCTTAGACCAGGAATTTGTTTGATTGTTTGTTTATTTGTTTTCCCCCAGAGTATTCCTATGTATCCCAGACTAGCCTATAAAACTACATAGGCCAAGCTGACCTCGAACTCCTAATTCCTGCTGCCTTAGCTGGTATTGCAGGCATGTGCTACCATACCTAACCAGGAGAACAATTGCTGTAAAAGGCCAGAACGTAAATATTTCATCCTTCAGAACCACATCATCTTGAGCACCAACACTTAAATGAACTATGGCAAAAAGCAGCCACAAATAGTGCTGCACAGACAAACGAGTGTGGGATGAATAGGCTGCACGC